AAAATTATCTTTACTTCCTGTACTTTATAAAAATCAGGTAACATATATTTTCTTATTATAATGTAACTGTTTTATTAAAAATGATATTTGCCATAAATTTTATAAAATACATAATCAAATTTATAATTTAATTTAGAAATAAATCACAATTTTTTATAATAATTTGAGAGAAAAACAACGTATTTAACTCATTTATGTATAAATATTATTTTAAAATGTATTTGTTATGATTTTTAATTTTTTGACATTAAGTGTGTAAATTTTTATAATGGGTACTAAAAATTATGATTGACATGCTTTATTTCAAGGTAATTACTGTAGAAAGTAATACGTTTATGGTTTGGAAGTCATTTAATATCAAATTATGAAAGTTGATTAATTGTATAAAAAATTATAAAAAATAATTAAATAAGTATTATCAGTTAATTTAAAAAGATATTTTTAAATAATTTTTTGATAATATTTTAATATAACACATATTATTTTTATTGATTTTTTTTATTATATTGATGTATTTAAAATTTAAAAAATAAAATAAAATAAAATGAGTTGTGTCAAAAAATGATGTAAAAAAAATATATAATATATAATTTTTCTAAAAATTGATGTTACAGCTGAGGTATAGCATACGGCATATCCGCCATTTACTACTTTTTTTATGCTTTTGTGCAGATTCCATTGGACACTTTCTGATTTCTCTCTATCACAGCTATCTTCCGCATCTTTCTCTGCATTCAGTAACAATGACTTCTTCTTCAGTGAATGACGTCTCAAGGTAGGTATCCATTATTTCTTTATACTGAGCAATTTCAATTTTAAGGGACACTAGCTTCTGCCATTTCTGCAATGGTTGATAAAAGTTTTCCATTTTCTATGTTTCTGTATACCAATGCCATGATTCAGAAACCTGGAGTTGTATTTGGTTTTTGGGTCACTCATCATTCTGTCATGAGTATTTGTTATTGGAACTTCACTGGTGTTTCACATGGATCAATCTTTTCTTACAAATAAAAGATATTTTGTGAATGGATGGATGGATTTGTGATTTTTTATTTGATTTTTTTCTGGTTGAGATCAAGATCAATGGAGAAAGAAGGGGAGAGGAGGGGATTGAATTTTGCATCCATATTAGATTTCCTGTTAGATTTACCTTTCTCAACTTGAATGTTAAAACAACAGTCTTTTTTCCGATTAATTTCGAGCCTTTTGAGTGAAGAACACGAAAGTTGGATTTATCATACATGTCGTAGGTGCCAATTGCCCCAAGTTCTCTGATATTAAGCGGTACTAAGGTACCTCTGTCTGCGCTCAATTGGTGGCCTTGTTAGTTATTCATTTTAGAACAAATTTCCAAGAACTTAGAAAAATAAGATGAACAATAAATTTGATATAATCTTCGTCCTGAATATATACTTTTTTAAAAGTAATATTTCGTTTGTTGTAAGAGTGAAGATCACGAAATCTGCTTTTAAAATACAAAGAAGAAATACAACGGCCAAGTTGTTTGGGATGTCCTGTCGTGAGTAGGTATGCAATGGGATGATAGTCAGAGCTAGCCACAGCAGCAGATAACACAGCATAATGGTTTGCCAGAAGAAAACCGGTAGCCTCTTTTGATGGCATCTTTGATGCATATCCTATTGTATCTTAAGCTTTGTTGTCAAAGGAATACCCAATTATCAGTTGCTCGATTGTCTATTGCCTCGGTTTCAACATGCCTTTACTGCTGCAGCTATGTGAATTAACATCCAATACCCAAACCACTGAATGCATCGCGAGTGATTTGTCGTTTTTTTAGTCATTACAATACTGTTTTCTTGTTTAACTGACCAGCTGTTGAGGGGCTTGGATACTTATAAATGAGATATGTTTTGTATTGTTAGACATAAAAAACCCTTTATATCGTGGTATTAAAGCCTCTATAACTTTGTCCTAGTTGCAAAACTCGATTTTTGTTAACTTGATTCTTCCAAATAGAAGTTAAGTTTCTACAGAATGGAAGTTTCATCTGTGTATTATCTAAATTTTAATTCGAAAGGACTCTTGCAGGAACACGTTATATATATAAACCAGTTATACGCCATACCCAATAGCTTATGCTTTTGGTGTAGTTGGTTACTGGTTATTTGTCATACTTCACGGTATAGAAATTTTAGTATATGAGTATATTCGTATCTGTACTTGTCACTCATTATTACTATCTTGTTGTGCCATCAGCCAGAGTTCTCTTACCAGACTTGCTCCTCTTGAAGCAGTGCTCTTTGATATAGATGGAACTCTCTGTGATTCCGATCCTCTCCACTACGAAGCCTTCCGTGAAATGCTTCAAGAGGTCGTGTGTCTTTTATTAGTAGAAAAGTTTTTTTAAGTTCAAAATATTGAAAAAAGTTCTTTTTTTTATGCAATATTCCGCTCAGTCTTTACACATCAGCATAACTTAGCTCATGATCTATAACTATTGAAAAACTAATAGAATCTTCTGCGGTTGTCAGATTGGTTTTAATGGTGGTGCTCCCATAACCGAGGAATTCTTTATTGACACTGTTGCTGGCAAACACAATGATGACATAGCCTTGTCTCTCTTTCCTGATGATCTGCCACGAGGTTTAAAGTTTGTGGATGATAAGGAAGCCAAGTTCCGGACGTAAGAAATACTTGCTTTCGTTTACATTCCTTTCTCCTCCATTTCCCCATGTTGTCCATTTGAAGCTTTAGAGGATAATTCATGATTCTCTGATGGATTTTCCAGAATGGCAGCACGTCAACTGAGGCCTTTGGATGGCTTGGATAGAGTAAGGAAATGGATTGAAAGACGTGGGTTGAAGAGAGCTGCAGTTACCAATGCTCCAAGAGCAAATGCAGAGCTCATGATCTCCGTACTTGGCCTCTCAGATTTCTTTGATGCTGTTATCATAGGTGGTGAATGTGAACATGCCAAGCCTCATCCAGACCCCTACCTGAAAGGTCTTGAAGCTCTTAAGGCATCAAAGGATCACTCATTTGTATTTGAGGTCTGCACTTTTGTAATGCCTTATTGAAGAATAAATTTTCTGGATATGCTCTTGACTCATTACTTTATCTTTTTTTTTTGGTAGGATTCTTTTTCAGGGATTACGGCTGGAGTGGCAGCTGGGATGCCTGTTATTGGTTTGGCTACTAGAAACCCAGAAAAGCTTTTGATGGAAGCAAAACCTGCATTTCTGATTAAGGATTATAATGATGAAAAATTGTGGGAAGCTTTGGAAGAACTTGACAAGGCTAGTGGTCCTCCTTCAGTTTGAATTACTAGTGAAACTGGAAGAATTTCTTCACAGAAACCGGGATTCGTATTAAATTCTTAGGTTCAACTGCATAATATTGTTGTAGGTGGCCACATTACAATACATGTCCATCATTGGTGTTGCTTTGCAGCAGCAAACAGTCATTCTTTCTCTTTCTTAGCAATAATTTCATTGCTAGTTTTGAACCCGTGGGTCAAGCCCAGGATATCGTAACTGTACTGTAGTTTATGCTCAACATAATCAAATCCTTCATATAATTCATAATTTACAGTAAGATGAAGAATAAGTTTTAAGCTTATTGTAATTTTAGATATTTTTATTAAAAAAAATTATTCTATTAAATATTCAAAAAAAATTATATTTTTTAATTTAAAGTTGTGTGATTGAATTTTGTCATTATTGAATATTATGTCGCATCTGTCTTCACCTAAAACAATTTATTTAATTAAATTATAAATCTCTTATAAATTTGGATCTCTATTAAAAAAAATTAATATTGAATATTTATATTTCTAATGCAATAATACCACATAATAAAAAAATTATATTTTTTAATTTAAAGTTGTGTGATTGAATTTTGTCATTATTGAATATTATGTCGCATCTGTCTTCACCTAAAACAATTTATTTAATTAAATTATAAATCTCTTATAAATTTGGATCTCTATTAAAAAAAATTAATATTGAATATTTATATTTCTAATGCAATAATACCACATAATACAAAAAAATTTGGTTATAGATCCACCAAAGGGCAATAATACCACATAATACAAAAAAATTTGGTTATAGATCCACCAAAGGTGGGTAGCCTTAACCGATGTGTATAGGAAAGCCCGAAGGCTGTTCCCGTCCCTGTCAGGGGAGATGCCAACCATCTCTCCTTTTAACGAACACATTACTTAGGGGCTAAAAGTCATATATAAAGCAAGATAATTTTAACAAACTAGTCAATGTGGGACTTGTCGTGGTTGAGATGTTTTTTCTTTTAACTTACTATCTCTGCCTGTTTGGAAGACGTGAAACAACAAAATGGAAAAGAATAATTTGACAATTTATTTTTACAAATTTTGATATAATATATGTATTATTCTTTCACCGATTTATTATTTATTTGATATTATACTGATATATCAATACAAAAATGACA